CCCCCCCCCCCCCACACACACACAACCTGAGCCACGAAATCGGTATTTTTCAGCACTCTGAGACCGAATTCCTCCATTCTCCCCTCCAAAAAACCCACCCGGGATGGAGGTCGGGAAGCAGGGCAAAGAAACGGCGCAAAACCCACCTTCAGAACCAACCCCCCCCCAGTGGGGAAATGCATCTCGGCGCTGAAATCAAAGCGTTTCACTCCCGATAGAATCTCTTAAAGAGCCCTTTTCCCCCTTCAGAATGTAGGTTATTTTTTGGAGGGGAGGGTGTGAAGGTTCGATTTTCAATGGATTTATCCCGTCCGGAGGATGCTGACGTGGAAATAGATGGCTCCGATTTTTATAGGCCTCGCGGTGGGAATAAGAGGAAAGCTGGAAGGTTTTCTATACGGCACAGAGAAACGGGGGGCTGAGTGCGGGACACGGGGCTGGGTGGGGGGGAAAGGAAGGGGTCGGTGGGTCTTTATTGCTCTCCCCAGAAATAGAATCCTAGGGTCATTTATAAGGGAAAGAAGAGCCGCCTGGGCCGGGCGGAGGAGCGAGGCTCGCTGTTTGCTGTCGTTTGCCGTTGGTTTGGGTGTTTGCATCGGGTCCGTACCCAGCGAAAGGGAAGGGGGGATGGAAGGGATATGGGGCGAGCAGGAAAAAATAAGAACTGAAAAAAAGAAAAGGATGATCGGGAGCAAAGGAGCAAATTAGCCCCGTTAATCCCGGCCCGTTCTGTCCCGTTTTGCCGGACCCCTCTTCCTGCACTGCCCCCCCCCCCCCCCCTCCTTTCCCTGAAAGCCGGCCGTGTTTTGTGTAAAAATAGACAAATCCGAGCTTTCTTCCTTTTCCTGCTCCGAAGGTATTTTTCCTCTCTAATTGCTTAAGTGAAGTCAACCCCGCGAGCAGGCCGCGTGTAACCCGAGGATGGAAATGGATCTAGGTGGGATCGGCGGGCGCTGCTCGGGGTGTTCCTGCCGCCCGGACCACCCAAAGAGAGGGGAGGGACCGCCGCATGTCCCCCCTTCCCCCCACCCCTCCATCCCCATCCCCTCCTCCGCTGCTTCGCATTAACGCCGCCCGCAGACCCCCCCCCACACCCCCCTTCCACCCGGCGCTGCCCCCGCTCTGCTCTGCTCTCCCAGTCCCGTCCGCCTCGGATCCGTTGCGAATTGATCCCTAAACGTTTATTTAGGGCCGAGGGGTGCGTTCTGCCGAAAGGCTTTAAGGTTTTATTCGACACACGTGCTGAGATCTCCCTTAGAACCGAGCGAGGTGTCTCTCTGTTCCAACTCCCCCCCCTACCCGCTTCCCATCGCCTTCAGTGCAAAATTCCTCCTCTCCCCACCCCCGAAAACACACGGAGAAGCTTTGCCCCACGCGTGTCCGTGTGCGCAGGAGGAATTTTGGGGACGGAACACAGAACACAGCGAAACTGGGGCTGCAGAGTTCTGCCAAGCAGAACTTCAGGCGTTGATCAGATGGGAGAAGAAAAAGGACAACCGTACAGATTTTCTCTCTTTGTCCCTCTTTCCC